ATGCTGTCATATTTTCATAAATAAAGTTAGGTGATGCCATTTTCATCTAAATAGCCAAAAATGTCCCGACGGGACGCCGGAAGGCCGTTTTTGCAAGAATAGCCGCCTATGGTCCTTTTTCTAATTTTTGGCCACTTAGTAAACACAACCCTAAAATCTTCCCTTCTGAAGTGCCTAAGGGTCGTATTTGAAAAAGTAGCCGTGATTTGTTTTAAGTCGGATTTTGCAAAAAATAGTCTTTTTTGGTCTGCTTTTAAACAAAATTCACATGTTTTAACCTAGTCACCCTAATTTAAAAATGTGCAGAATGCACTGTTAAGAACTTACCGGTGAAGGCTACGGATCATATTCCACTAGCACTCCATATGTGGTGGGAGGACTTGGGAAAACAAGGATGAGACATGGTCAACCAATACCTGAGAGCGCTCACCGGACTATTGAAAATTCCACCTAGAAGTGATCTGATAGTGGCATTAGTGTCATTCTGGGACCCCGCTCACAATGTCTTGCACTTCTCATATTTTGAGCTTGCACCTACTTTGGAGGAAATGGTGGGTTATGTCGGGAGTACGGAAGGATTAAGACACAAGTACCTGGTATCTCCAAGGACTGTTACTCCCAACAAGTTTCTAGACTTACTAAAAATAAGCCGACAAATCAAGACTGAAAGTTTAGCAGATAGAACTTCCACTTTTCACTTTCTATACCAGTGGTACAGGCACTTAAGGGGATTCGAAGACCCAGAAAATAGACTCTGCATTAAAGGAAACGGGTCAAAGTGGGAAATGCATAGATGTTTAGCCTTCATGGTGGCATTCTTAGGCTTTTTGGTGTTTCCAAGGGAAGATGGGCGCATTGATTTGCGTGTAGTTGGAGTTGCCCACGTTTTGATGTACCCTCGCACCCTTGATTGTATCAAATATATTCTGAGCCCTCACATCCTAGAAGGCCGGGGTCAGATTTTTCGAGGGGTGCAATCTGTTGTTGCAACTGTGGATGATCGAGCACCTTTGTCACCGTCCTCGATACATGAATTACGGTTCCATGGGGAAAAATTGCAGCGAAAAGTTTGGTACATGAGTGACCCGATTCAAAATGCCAGGAGGGATCAAAAATCAGATCAACCCGCCTTCGTTCAATAACCGCTGATCAAATAGAATGGAAATTGGGTTGGCTTCCTGTTGATGAGATTATTTATATGCCTGCCACTGGTCCCTACTTACATCTAATAGGTCTCTGAAGCATCCAGCCCTATGCCCCGTACTGGGTTTTGAGACAACTTGGAAGATGCCAGACAGTTCCCAGAGATGAGGATCTTAGGACTCATGTGGTTGAAATCCGCTTCGATGCCCAATTTCCAGAAGAAATGGTTAGCCAAATTTGGAGCGAATGCCAGTATTTGGGAGCAAACACCCGAGTACGTGATTTGTCCAGGGGCAAGGTCTTGCCTGGTTATGTTGCTTTGTATGGAAAGAGAGTTGCGACAAATGACGAATTTGAAAGGCCGACTTAATCCTTCCGTGAGTACGGAAGGATTAAGACACAAGTACCTGGGATCTCCGAGGACTGTTACTCCCAACAAGTTTCTAGACTTACTGAAAATAAGCCGACAAATCAAGACTGAAAGTTTAGCAGATGGAACTTCCACTTTTCACTTTCTATACCAGCGGTACATGCACTTAAGGGGATTCGAAGACCTAGAAAATAGATTTGCAGTAAAGGAAACGGGTCAAAGTGGGAAATGCATAGATGTTTTGCCTTCATGGTGGCATTCTTAGGCCTTTTGGTGTTTCCAAGGGAAGACGGGCACATTGATTTGCGTGTAGCTGGAGTTGCCCACGTTTTGATGTACCCTCCCACCCTTGATCGTATCAGATATATTCCGAGCCCTCACATCCTATAAGGCCGGGGTCTGATTTTTCGAGGGGTGCAATCTGTTTTTGCAAATGTGGATGATCGAGCACCTTTGTCACCGTCCTCGATACATGAATTATGGTTCCATGGGGAAAAACTGCATCGAAAAGTTTGGTACATGAGTAACCCGATTCGAAATGCCAGAAGGGGTCAAAGATCGGATCAACCCGCCTTCGTTCCATAACTGCAGATCAGATAGAATGGAAATTGGGTTGGCTTCCTGTTGATGAGATTATTTATATGCCTGCCACTGGTCCCTAATTCATTCTAATGGGTCTCTGAAGCATCCAACCCTATGCACCGTACCGAGTTTTGAGACAACTTGGAAGATGCCAGACAGTTCCCAGAGATGAGGATCTTAGTACTCATGTGGTTGAAATCCGCTTCGATGCCCAATTTCTTGAAGAAGTAGTTAGCCAAATTTGGAGCGAATGCCTGTATTTGGGAGCAAACACCCGAGTACGTGATTTGTCCAGGGGCGAGGTCTTGCCTGGTTATGTTGCTTGGTATGGAAAGAGAGCTGCGACAAATGATGAATTTGAAAGGCTGGCTTAATCCTTCCAGGAGTATGGAAGGATTAAGACACAAGTACCTGGCGTCTCCAAGGACTGTTACTCCCAACAAGTTTCTATACTTACTGAAAATAAGCCGACAAATCAAGACTGAAAGATTAGCAGATGGAACTTCCACTTTTCACTTTCTATACCAGCGGTGCAGGCACGTAAGGGGATTCGAAGACCCAAAAAATAGACTTTGCAGTAAAGGAAACGGGTCAAAGTGGGAAATGCATAGATGTTTTGCCTTCATGGTGGCATTCTTAGGCCTTTTGGTGTTTCTAAGGGAAGACGGGCGAATTGATTTGCGTGTAGCTGGAGTTGCCCATGTTTTGATGTACCCTCGTATCCTTGATCGTATCAGATATATTTCGAGCCCTCACATCCTGTAAGGCCGGCATCAGATTTGTCGAAGTGTGCAATCTTTTATTGCAAATGTGGATGATCGAGAACCCTTTGTCACCGTCCTCGATACATGAATTACGGTTCCATGGGGAAAAACTGCATCGAAAAGTTTGGCACACGAGTGACCCGATTCGAAATGCCAGAAGGGGACAAAGATCGGATCAACCCGCCTTCGTTCCATAACCGCAGATCAGATAGAATGGAAATTGGGTTGGCTTCCTGTTGATGAGATTATTTATATGCCTGCCACTGGTCCCTAATTCATTCTAATGGGTCTCTGAAGCATCCAACCCTATGCACCGTACCGAGTTTTGAGACAACTTGGAAGATGCCAGACAGTTCCCAGAGATGAGGATCTTAGTACTCATGTGGTTGAAATCCGCTTCGATGCCCAATTTCTTGAAGAAGTAGTTATCCAAATTTGGAGCGAATGCCAGTATTTGGGAGCAAACACCCGAGTACGTGATTTGTCTAGGGGCGAGGTCTTGCCTGGTTATGTTGCTTGGTACGGAAAGAGAGTTGTGACAAATGATGAATTTGAAAGGCCTACTAAAACGCCCCATATCCAAGAATTTGTCGATGCATCGCAGGAATAGTGGGCTTGGTTAGCTAAAGAGAATCAATACCGGACCATCATAAGCAAACTAGAAGATCAAATTAGGAACATGAAATTTGATAGTAGTTTGCAGGCTGTTGAGGATGAAGGAGAAAAGAAGAGGTTGGTTTGGGAAAATGAAGCCCTCCGAGCTCAGATCCGAAAGATGAAAGTAGCCGCCGAGACCCCGGTAAGAAGCGAAAAAGATGAAAGACTCATAAGCAATCTGAGGCGGAAAGTGCATGATTTTGGGGCTGATTTGACAAAGGCCGAGGAAGACTTGGTGAAGGCTCGAGCACAGTTGGCAAAAGGTATGGAATAACGGACAAGGTTTGCTTAGCAGTTAAAGCAAAAGTATGATAGAGGAGTCACGGTCTTAAAGGAAAAGCTGACTACCCTCGAAAATAAAATGGTTCAGCAAACAAAAGACTTCAAAACAGAGACAGAATACTGCTATGCTTTGATTTACCAATTAGAAGAGAGAGTGCAGAAGCTACAAGACCAAAACGGCACAGCCACGCAGGTGCTGGAAGCCCGTGCACAACAAATCGGACGCTTGCTTCAAGAAAAGGGTATCATCAGAATGAGAATCAAAGAAATAGCTGATTATGTTGCTATGAAGTGCCACGAATGTGAAGATATGACCAGATCCATATTTTTTTCTTTCGTGATGACCTTTGTTCGCTAGTTGATGGATGATCTATAACACCTTCAGGAAAAGATTGCCTGCAGGCCCGCGTCGAGGCCGACTGATGTCCCGCGGGCCCCCGGAGTAGCATTAGAGGCTCTTATGTATTAATGATTTTTGTTTTTTAAGTCTGTACTTTACTTTTTTTCGATTCTATTTTGTCCTTTCGAGTCTGTTTTGTTTCAAGTCTGTTTGTTTCTTTTTAGCCATCAGTATTTCTGTGTCTATGTAATAGACAAACCCAAAAATATGTCTTTTATTAATGAAATATTGAAAAACCCAAAAAATTTCTTTTTCATTCATTTCGCATTTATTCCCCTGAACTACGTAATGATCTGATTCATCTAGCGTCATGATACATAGGCAATCCCCATCGGACTCGATCATAGCCATAAAAATAAAAGAGTGACAAAAACAAAAAGAGAAAAAGAGAGTGCCAAAAAATAAAAGAGCAGCAGAAACAAAATGAGAAAATCAAGGCAGAAATGAAAGAAAAGGGGTAAAGAGTGAAAAAAAGGGTTAGTTAAGGCCGAGATGAAACATGCAACAGTTCAAACACATGGTAGAAGTGTTTAACTATTTAGGTGCATTGCATCCCAACGTGCGATTTCTATCTGTTAAACTCGCGAAACTAACAAGGTTGCTGGGTGTGCTGTTAGTTTAGGCAGGTGGTTAGTTTGTTGGCATTCTGGCAGGTCATCCATACAACACCAGGTCAAAGCGCAAGGCAATCATGGCCAACAAAGAATCGGACACAAGTGTTGTTGACCCACCAAGGGAGATTGTGGAATCGGAGTCTTAATTAAAAAAGGAGGTCCACAGGTTGATATATCAAATGGCAGAAATGTATCAAGCGTGGATCAGGGGGCATCCTCCACCTTCATTCCCCACTAACTACATAGAAAATCCCGCCTCCATCCCACCACTGTCACAAGCCCAGGTTCCCACTACCGTTGATCTTTCCCCTCAACATGCGCCAGGCCTTACCCCTTACCCCCACTACCCTAGCACCTCGTCCCAAACTTTCCATGCTCCACCAGCTAAAACAGCCTCATACCCTGCTCTTGTTTTCGTAGCCCCTCCACAAGCTACCCTCCACCGATATTCTAGTGAACCTGCGTTCAAAGTTCCAGATGCCCAATACTATGCTCCAGAACCAACTTTCAAGGTCCCGGATCATTATTCTTATACCTCTCACTTTGAACCTCCTATTGAAACCGAGAAGCCATCTAAGAAGGTGGAGCAAGATGAGATATTCAGGAAAGTGAAGATTTTATATCAATATTTGAGGATCATGCAAGGGATAGGAAACCAAGTAAGTGTGGCTTACAAGGATTTGTGCTTATTCCCTGACGTCCAATTGCCTGCTGGGTTCAAGATGCCCAAGTTTGACCTGTATGATGGACATGGAGATCCCATGGTGCATTTGAGAGGTTTTTGCAGTAAGATTAGAGGTGCTGGTTGTAACGACAAATTATTGATGGCATATTTCAGTCAGAGTATGAGTGGGGCGGCTATGTAATGGTACACCCGCCAAGATGCTAGCAGGTGGTACACATGGGACGATATGGCTCAGGCCTTTGCCCGACACTTTTAGTACAATATAGACATTGTCCTGGATCGCCTATCCTTGACCAAGGTAGAAAAGAAGCCCAGTGAAAGCTTTAGAGAATACAGGTTCAGATGGAGAGAGAAAGCTGCACGGGTTAACCCTCCGATGGAAGAAGACGACATGCTCAAGTACTTTCTTCAAGCCTTAGAGCCTACTTACTTTGGCCATTTGATCTCAGCCGTAGGAAAGCCATTCATCGATGTGGTAAAGATGGGAGAAATGGTGGAGAAGGGACTCAAGTCAAGAAATATCATGAGCTACTCTGCCATAAAAGCAACCACACAGGCAATCCAGAGTGGCACTGGAAGTTTGGTAGGCAAGAAGAAGAAGGACGACATCGCTATGGTTGTCTATGAACCATGGCGAGGATTGAGGGGTTCGCCTTACCAGTACACTGGGCCTCGACCCCAACCTCAAGCCTAAACCCAAGCTCCATATAATCCACCCCAATATTATTTCCCACCACAAGATCCTCAATACTCAGCCAGACCACCCCAATACCATGTTCTCCATGCACAGACATATGCTCAACCCCCTTCTTACCCGCAATGTCGTGCTCCAGCTCCACAAAATCCTTATCCGCCCCAACAACCCTACCGAAACCCTACTGGTCCAAACTTCCGACCAAGGTCGGATTACAGGAGGGAAAAGAAGCAGTGGAAAGAAACCTTCACCCCTCTGGGAGAGTCCTATGCCAGTTTGTTCCAAAGGTCGAGGGAGTTGGACATGTTGAGGCCGATTGAGGCAAAGATACCCAATCCACCCCAAAGAACCCTGATTATTCTTTAAGGTGCGCATATTGTTCTGATGCCCCAGGGCACAACAAAGAGAAGTTTTGGCATTTGAAAAGGGCAGTACAAGAGTTGATTGATACACATCAAATTAAAGTGCAGAGCCTGGATGCACCAAACATCAACCAAAATCCATTGCCAGCCCATGCAGAGACACACATGATTGAAATAGTTCGCAAGGACGGGGAGTCCAACAATTCTTCCAACTCTATCATGATGATTTGTGCTAGTGAAGGTAAGTCAATTAAGGCTCCAGACTCTACGAAAGCAATGCCCTTGACAATTGAAAGGGTGACAGAGAAATCAAGCATGCTTAACGTGAAGTCGCCTGTGCCGGTTGTGAAAGCGGCTCCGAAGGATATTAGGGCAAGTCAAGAAAAGACAAAAGTGGTAGTGCTAGGGATTTCGATCAAGCCTTTTGTAGTCGTGAAGGGGGCTCGTATCACCCCTATTGTTATTAAGCCAGTGACCCAGTTGCCAGTGGTAGATACAAAGGCCGTTCCGTGGAATTACAAACAAGTGATAGTGACATACAAAGGGAAAGAAGTGGAGGAAGAAGTCAATGAAACTAGAGAACTAACTCGTTCTAGGCGATGTTTTACCCCAGAAGAATTAAGAATGGCCAAGACATTCATGGATAGCAAAATTCTAGTAAAGAAGCCGGTCACTGAAGAAGAGGCTGAAGAATTCTTGAGAAAAGATGAAAGTGCAAGACTATTCCATGGTGCAACTAAGGAAAACACCGACTCAGATCTCTTTTCTGTCTCTGCTGATACATTAAGATGAACAAAGCAAGGCCCTGATGAAGTGAGGCACATGTTCCTGATAAAATCATAGTGAATCACTTGGAAATATTAGCTAACAAGATCTTCGGAGTAAACAGGATCACTTTCTCCGATGATGAACTTGGTATGGAAGGTACAGAACACAACCAGGCTCTTTATCTTACGGTGAAGTGCGAGGATTCTGTTGTCTCAATATACCGGTTGATAATGGCTCTAGTGCATATATTTGCCCACTGTCCACTTTGCAAAAGTTAAAGCTTGGCACTAACAGAATTCACATGAACAGTGTATATGTTCGAGGCTTTGATGGAGGAGGGAAAGATTGGGTTGGTGATATAACGCTCGAATTATCATTAGGTCCAGTTGTGTTCACTATGGAATTTCAAGTGTTAGATGTGGCTGTCTCTTACAATCTATTGTTGGGCAGGCCCTGGATACATACTGCTAAGGCAGTCCCGTCTTCTCTGCATCAAATGGTAAAGTTCGAATGGGATAAGCAGGAAATAGTTGTGCACGATGATAAGGACTTATCTGCTTGCAGTGACACAACTGCTCTATTTATTAAAGCTGAAGATGATAAAGGGCCTTAGGTCTAACAAACTTTTGATGTATTGTCTGTTGAGAAGATTCCTGAGGGAGAATGCATTCCAGGTCTGAAGCTATCCTCCGCATCCATAATGATGGCAGATGAAATGTTAAAGAATGGTTTTGTGCCAGGTAAAGGTCTGGGTTCATCTTTATAGGGTATTGCGCATGCAGTGTGCCCACATAAAAATCTCGGTACATTTGGTTTGGGATTTGCGCCCACAATGAAGGACGTGAAAAAGGCTATAAATCTGAAACAGAAGATATGGTCACTCCCTAAGCATGTTTCACACATCTCCAAGTCTTTTGTCAAGCCAGGGGCCCCAAAACGTCCAATATTATCAACCCCGAAACCTGTGGTCAATGTGGATGAAGAGCTGATCAGGAGGTTCCAATGTCTGTTTGATGAGGTTATTATGGTGGAAATCGGGGAAGGTTTCAGTAACGTAGATGTGCAGCTCGTTGGGCCAAATGTGAAGCTTAGCAATTGGGAAGCTACTTCTCTCTCCACCCGGAAGGAGTTTTGGTAGTTTTCTTGGTTTTCCTTTCTGTTATTTGGGTTATTCCAGAGTTGTAATCCAAATTATCGTTTTACGCTTTTTTTGATGTACAAACCCTTCTATCCTTTTATTTTCAGTGAAATACAATTTATCGTTTTCCTTTATTCCTGATAGCGCTCATTTTGTTTTTCTTTTGTATAGTTCTTTTTATGTTGGTTTCAATGACATGACATGCATGAGGAATTTTAAGCCAAGTCTTAAAAGCCAATCTAATTCTGAAATAATAATCCAAGAAGTAGAGTGTGATGAAACAGAATGTGACAAAGAAGCGACATTTGAGGAAATCAATAAAGAACTAAAATACTTTGAAGAAAAACCCAAGCCTAATTTAAATGAAACTGAAGCAATCAATTTAGGAGATCAGGATAATGTCAGAGAAACCAAGATAAGTGTGCATCTGGAATTGCAAGTCAAAGAAGAAATAATCAAAACACTGTTTGAGTACAATTTGCATGGTCGTATGACGATATGCCGGGCTTAAGTACTGATTTGGTAGTTCATAAATTGCCAACTAATCCTGCATTCCCTCTTGTCAAGCAAAAGTTAAGAAAGTTCAAGAACGACATGAGTGTGAATATTAAAGAAGGAATCAAAAAACAACTTGGGGCAAAGGTCATTCGGTTCACTCGATACTCCACTTGGTTAGCTAATGTTGTGCTAGTACCAAAGAAGGATTGAAAGACCAGGGTATGTGTTGATTATCATGATCTTAACCAAGCAAGCCCAAAGGATGGTTTTTCGTTGCCAAACATCCACATTTTGATTGACAATTGTGCCAAGAATTAGATTGGGTCTTTTGTGGAATGCTATGCGGGATATCACCAGATCTTGATGGATGTGGAAGATGCAGTAAAAATCACGTTCATCACACCATGGGGGACATATTGCTACCGGGTAACGCCATTTGGTTTGAAGAATACTGGGGCAACTTACATGAGGGCAATGACTACCATATTTCATGACCTGATACACAAGGAAATTGAGGTTTATGTAGATGATGTGATCATAAAGTCAAAGAAGCAGTCCGACCGTGTCAGAGTTTTGAGAAAGTTTTTCCAGAGGCTTTGCAGGTACAACCTCAAGCTCAATCCGGCAAAATGTGCATTTGGTGTCATGTCCGGAAATTGATGGGATTCATAGTTAGTCGATGCGGTATTAAGTTGGATCCGTCGAAGATCAAGGCCATCAAAGAGTTACCCCCGGCCAAAGAATAAAACCGAGGTGATGAGCCTGCTCAAAAGGTTAAGTTACATTAGCAGGTTCATTTCTCAACTCACGACAACCTCTGAGCCCATGTTTAAGTTGTTGAAGAAGAATGCTACGGTCAAGTGGACCGATGTGTGTCGGGAAGCATTTGATAAGATAACGTGGTACCTGTCAAACCTACCTGTGTTGGTCCCACTGCAGCCTGGAGACCTTTAATTCTCTATTTGACAGTCCTGGATAATTCTTTTGGTTGTCCATTGGGTCAACACGATATCACGGGCAATAAAGAGCAAGCAATTTATTATCTCAACAAGATGTTCACTCCATATGAGGTTAAGTATACCTTTCTTGAGAGGACATGTTGCGCCCTAACTTGGGTGGCACAAAAGTTGAAGCATTATCTTTCGTCCTACACTACATACCTCATTTCTCATACGGATCCTCTAAAGTATATCTTTTAGAAGCCTATGCCCACAGGAAGACTTGTAAAGTGGCAGATTTTACTCATAGAGTTTGACATCATCTATGTAACCCGGACCGCGATGAAAGCCCAAGCTTTGGCTGATCACTTGGCCGATAACCCGATGGATGAAGAATGTGAGCCATTGAAGACCTATTTTCCTGATGAAAAGTGATGCATTTTGACGAGGTTGATCATAATGAAAAGCCAGGTTGGAAACTCTTCTTTGATGAAGCTGCTAACATGAAAGGTGTCAGAATAGGAGTTGTACTTATTTTTGAAACGGGGCAACACTACCCTATAACAGCCCAGCTTCGGTTTTATTGCACAAACAACATGGCTGAGTACGAAGTATGCATTCTAGGTTTGAGGTTAGCTGTAGACATGAGAGTTAAGAAAATAGTGGTTTTGGAAAATTGAGATTTACTGATTTACCAGATTCAGGGAGAATGGGAGACTCGGGATTTGAAGCTCATACCATACCGACAGTGTCTGCATGACCTTTGTCAATGATTCAGGGCAGTAGAATTCAGGAATATTCCCAGGATTCATAATGAGATTGCCGACGCCTTGGCTGATCTGGCGTCAATGTTACACCACCCAGACAAGATTTACATCGACCCCGTGCATATCCAAGTTCATGATCAGCATGCTTATTGTAATGTGGTTGAAGAGTTGATGTTGAACCTTGGTTCTATGACATCAAGGAATACATTAAGTCAGGGGTATATCCGGTATATGTCACAAGTGATCAAAAGAGAACCATTCAACGTCTGGCTAATGGATTTTTGTTAAGTGGGGGAATCTTCTACAAGAGGACTCTAGATCTAGGACTACTAAGGTGCATAGATGCTAAACAAGCTTCGACTATCTTGGCCGAAATGCATTTCGGAGTTTGCGAGCCACATATGAGTTGGTATGTATTGGCAAAGAAGACACTTCGAGCAGGTTATTATTGGCTCACCATGGAACGCGATTGCATCAGCTTTGTTCGCAAATGTCATCAATGCCAGGTGCACGGTGATTTGATTCATTCTCCGCCATCTAAGCTGCACACAATGTTTGCACCTTGGCCCTTTGTTGCTTCGGCCATGGATGTCATTAGACCAATTGAGCCGGCGGTATCAAATGGACATAGGTTTATTCTGTTGGCCATTGATTAGTTTACCAAGTGGGTCGAAGTTGTAACTTTCAAGTCTGTGACCAAGAAGGCAGTGGTAGATTTTTTCTTTCAGATATCATTTGCCGGTTCAGAATTCCTAAGGTAATCATCACAGATAATGCTGCTAATGTCAACAGTCATTTGATAAAAGGTATGCCAACCGTTTAAGATTATGCATCGAAACTCTACTCCGTACTGTCCCAAAGAGAAAGAAGCTATAGAGGCTGCTAACAAGAATATAAAGAAGATACTTCGTAAGATGGTGCAAGGTTCTAGGCAATGGCATGAAAAATTACCTCTTACTTTACTGGGTTATCGCACTACTGTTCGCACTTCAGTAGGCGCGACTCCTTATTTGTTGGTATATGGAACTGAGACAGTTATACCTGCGGAAGTTGAAATTCCATCCCTTCGGATCGTCGCAGAAGCTAAAATTATTGATGACGAGTGGGTTAAAACTCGGGTAGAGAAGTTGAGTTTGATTGAGAAAAGATTGGCACCAGTATGTCATGGTCAATTGTATCAGAAGAGAATGGCAAGAGCATACAACAAGAAGGTGCGTCCCCGGAAATTTGAGGCGGGCCAGCTGGTATTGAAACGCATCCTTCCACATCAATCTGAAGCTAAAAGCAAGTTCGCCCCAAACTGGCAGGGGCCGTTCATTGTGACAAAAGTGTTGCCCAATGGTGCTTTGTATTTAGCAGACATAGAAGGCAAATGTGTAGAAATAACTATCAATTCTGATGCAGTCAAGAGATATTATGTATGATTTCTTTGCTTGTCTTCAATTGCATTATTTGTATTTGACATGTTTCAAAGTTGGAATGACAAAGGCATTTTATTCTGCTACCCAAATATTTTTGTCCTTTGTTACCCCTTTTGAGCCTTATTTACTTTCTTTCATGCCCCTTTATTGGAGTCAGAAGTAGAGTTAAAAAATAGAAAAGAGAAGAAAAAGAAAAGAGAAGGAAAAAAAGAGAAAAATATATATAAACGAAAAGAAAAAGAAAAAGAAAAAGAAGAAGAGA